GAATGCCTATAATTCCGGTTACTCGGAAGGCTGAGGCGGAAGGATCGCCAGAGCCCAGCAGGTCGAGGCTGCGGTGGCCGGGAGCGGCCACTGCACTCCAGTCTGGGCGACAGAGTGAGACTCCAACTCAAAAAAAATAATAATAATAAAATAAAATTTAAAAATAAATAAATAAATAAATAAGATCAGAGCTGAGTACTGTATACTGGAAAGTCTGATAAATGCTGGTAGCAGAGGCCAGTGAAGGAATGAATGAGAAAAAAGTATGTCAAAAAGTTGCCGCAACTCTTTCAAGGCACTTGATGGTAAGAAGAAACAAAAACATTGAGTGGAATCTCCAAGACTGGAAAAAAAGATGATCTTTTTGATCTCTCACACTCCCTCATCACCGATCTAAATGGAAAATATTGAGTAATTACATGTTAATGGAGGAGAAATCAAGAGAATTTGAACATATAGGAGAGAAACAATTTCTAGAATGAGTTCATCAAGTGTCCCAAAGGTATGACATCTGAGCACAAGCGATTAGACGTTGAATCTAGACAATATATTTAAGTACTTTAATGAAAAGAAGGAAAAACATATTTGTGCAGATGCATGCAAATTGGTATAGTTTGTTACTTGAAGTTGGAGGTCTTCACTTTGTAAAGCTTCTATTTATCTACAAATAAAGTTGTAAGATCATTTGTTGAGAGTCATGGGAGACATGGTAGGCTTGGTGTTCATGGGAGATTAAAGTATGCTACATTGTTAATAATATTGACATAAATATTCAATACACTATTTCACAAAGTCTAGAATTTTAGAGTCTGCATTAGCTGTTGTTTCAGATCATTTTGAAGGATGAAATGTAAGGCAAAATGAAAATAACAGGATGTGTCACAGATATTTTTGTGCTCTTTTGTGCTTATTTTTTCTTCTCCTACCATATCTGATAAATAAAAAAGCTTTTTTATGTTACACTATATTTTTGTTTCTTAGACAAAATTTTTAGATTTTCCATTCCATGCTTACCTGAATATAGAATACATTGTTACACATAATGTTAAATATTTTAGAGGTAAATTATGGCAGATAATTATTTCTCTCTGTCTCTCCTCTCTCCCTCTCTCTCTCGGTCAGGGTCTTACTTTATTGCCCAGGCTGGAGGGCAGTGGCATGATCACGGTTCACTGCAACCTCAATCTTCCTGAGCTCAGTGATCTTCCTGCCTCAGCCTCTAGAATAGCTGAGACTACAGGCGTGAGCCACCACACCTAGCTAATTTTTTTTAATCTTATTTTTTATAGAGGTGAGGTCCCACTATGGCATAGACTGCTCTCAAACTTCTAGCCTCAAGCAATCTTTCCACCTTGGCCTTCTAAATGCCAAAATTACAGGCATGAGGCACCACACTCAACATTATGGCAGATATTTCTGAAGTCAGAGGTATGGCAAGTTGCCTGGTTTAACTTTGTAGTATGAAAAGAGGATTTTTAAAGAGTAGTTTTGGAACCATGTTATGAAGCAATCTCAGAAGAACAACATTAAAAGAGAATATACTAAGTAAATATTAAGTAAAAGGACATGAACTTGGAAAATGCCTTCTAATGCTGACTCATTCACTTCATCAGATGCCGCCTATTTCTGTCACTTTCAACTTAAGTAATGTGATATATCATTTGTGGATGACATTAATAATTCTGCTAAATTCATCATCTTTAACATCTATAAATCCGTTGCTTTCAACTTTCCAGAGGCTAAATAGATTTTAGTTACAACTCCATTAATCCAAACCTAAGTTGAAGAGACAAGTGTCAAAATTAAGGTCATTTTGAGCCCCAAATATACATTTAAAATTTCAAAATCATTAAGCTTTTATGGATAAGGTATAGTTGTTTCATTAATCAAGTCATCAATTTTTCTGCAATATTGTTTTGATTGCTTTAGTTGTATAATATTTCATTCATTATTTTATTTTATTTTATTTTATTTCTCTCTTATGCCTAGAGTGTTCAAGGAGCAGTGAGAATAACAGAGAGGCTAGGGTTAAATAAGGACCAGGAGTATGAGATGAGGACTAAGAGATTATAGGACCAAGTGAAAATAAAGACATTGACTTACACTCTGAATGAATTGGGAAGTTATGGAAGAGATTTGAGCAGAAGAGTTACAGGATCTGAATTGATTTTTAAAAAGCTTTATTTGTTGACTGTTTTGATAAATAAATATGGGGCCACATGCAGAACTAGAAAGGAAGGAGGCTATTAAAATAACTGAAGTGGGAGATCATAGTGGTTTTTGATTGGAATGAGAGTGGTCGAGGTAAAGACAAGTAATCAGATTTATTATGCATTGTGAGGGACAAGCTGAATTGATTTGCTTTAGTTTAGATGTGGCATGTGAAAGAAATAAAAGAGTTAATATATCCAATAGTTTTGGGAAGGTTGGTGTTGATATTTATTGAGATGATAAAGAATGACAGACAAACAGGTTTGGTGGAGACATTCTGAATTTGGCATGTTGAGTTTGGGATGTCTATAGAGGTGAAAAGTAGGAAGCTGGACATGTGCATCCAAAGTTCAAGTGAGTACAACAGACTGGAGATAGACACTTACAGATTGTCAGCATTTCGATTCATGCAGCAGATACATGCGAGCTGTGCCACAAAGTGCATGTATAAAGAGAGTAGCTACAAGACTAAACTTCAGTACATAGGAACATTCAATTCTATGTTACAACTTTTCATTTTTTTTAACAACTTTTCTAGTAAACATTTCTAAAGAGACATTTTTAAAATTTCCTGGAGGACTATATATTATTTATTAAGATTTTGAAATTGTTATGTCCTTAATTTGTGAGTGCAATATATTCTCATTTTTTTCTGAAGACAGTAATTATTGTATTTAAAATATATATATTTTACATTGTATACTTTTTTTTTGCCTCTGCCAGATATTCTGTTTCTTAATCCTGATCTTGATCATACTCCATTTTTTCATGCTCTTGGGTTCTTCATATATCTATAGATTCTTGACTTTTTTTCACTAACAGTGAAGAATGAAAATGAAATTATTTTAGGTGTTTTATGGATTTCCTTTGCCATTGTTTGTAAAAAACTTACTTTTCTGCTCCCTTAGCTTTTTGAGTGGTGTGGCTCGTTGAAAATTCTGTCAACAATGAAAGGGTTTATTAATTGATTTAATTCCCTGTGGATTAATGACAGGAGAGTTAAACGATGAACCATTCAGAAGTTAAACTAGGAGCACTCAATTACCAGAATGAATTGGATTTTCCTGGGGTGAACATAAACCAAAACCAGTTGCTTTCATTTTACTCATGCAATTTACAATTCTCTTTACCAAAGTGACTCATATTTTATTTTGGCCAGGGCATGCCACACTGTCTATTTAATTTACATGATAGTGGGTTGAACATGCTTAGACAGACGTTTAAAGAAGTCTGTGGTTTTATCACTCTTTCCCACTCTCACCATCCATGTGCTGTCTCCACGTTACCAACTCTGAATATGGAGTTTCTCTGCAGTTTGTTGGTAAATTAGTTTCTATCCATAATGTAGACAATTGCTCAAATATTTGGATTATGGCATTTTCTGCTATGTTTTCTTTATTATCTCTCAATATTGATTGCCTTTCAGATAATTATTTCAATGGCCTTTAGTTTTATAATCATAGATGCAATATTGATTTTGCATTCAGGTAATGACTTTGATAAGAACATTTAAAAAAATTTTTTTAAATGTGGAGTACAATTCAGGGTTAGGCGAATAATTAATTTATTTTTATTTTAGAGTTGAGGGTCCCATGTGAGGATTTGTTACATAAGTAATTTGCATACAACTGAAGTTTGGACTTCTAGGAAAACTTCTCCCCCTTTCGCAGTAATGGACATGGTACCCTCTGGGTGTCTGTGTGCCCCTCAATACCCCTTTCTCTCCCTCTTTTTTAGTAGTGCCCAGCATTTGTTATTCCTATTTTGTGCTCACATGCCCATTGTTAAAATTTGTTTCCTTCAGTTTTTAGCTTAAGCCACTTAAAAAAAAACTTCACTCTTCTGTAGAGTAGCAATAATAATAATAACACCTAGCACATAGGATTGTTGTTAGCATTAACTAAGACAATATATATTAAATTCCATTCTTGGAGGTTAAGACATGCTTAATATTACTATTAATAACAACATTATGAGTAGTATTAATTTTTTATTTTAAACAGAGATTATAATGTTAAATTTTGCATTCTAAATTATTATAAGATTGTTTACAAATTATATGGTACAAATGATGGAAGCATTTATCTGCATAGTTTAGAAAATATTTGCAAGTTAATAACAAAATAGCACATGCGTGTGCAACTACACATTTTATGCCTTTATCACATATCATGATTCTGTTGAAAATTTCTAATTTTCAGAACATCTGTGGAGAAATAATTGTTGTTTGCATGTATAGGATTTTTTCTCACCTTCATATGTTTTTCTGCCTTAGTTTTCTATGGCAATGTATTGGCACGTTTTGTGGATGTTCTACATGTGGTTTATTGGCTCAAGTATTATATATATACTTTTTTTGTATTGCCCAAGTTTGTCTTTTCCACAGTTAATATACTATACCAAAAATAGACATAAGAATGACTGCAGGGAATACTGAGATACTAATATTCAGGACTAAAAAGTTAGGGTTAATTAGATTGGTTTAGAAGTCAATTGGTAAGTTGTTTAGGAGTTTGTGGAGATAACTGAGTTTTGCTTATTTTTCAATTGATAAATTGGGATATATGAAGATTTGCTGACTTTATTAATAACTTAGTATTTTCAATATTTTCAACTACAAGGGTAGTAACAAATGACTCAACCATAATAATTACAGCAGCAACAAACCTACTGGAATTCACGTTTAACAAACAAACAAAAACTAAAGCAAAATGAAAGACTCTTGTGCATTATTCTGGAACCAGTCTTTGTAGCATCCTATGATTCTAATTTTAACTTTTATTTTTCAGTTTGTCATTCTTCCTGGCCAACATGCAAATGAAATGGAAGGAACATCAGGAAATATAAAGGAAGACTTGAAATCTCAGAACGACAAAGATAGAGTGATCTGTGAATTAAGAACACAGGTAAGATATTGGATAAAGACTATAATACAAATTAAAACATATCTGCCTATTCTTAAATAATGTGCTATTTTTAGTATAACTGAAGCATCTTTGGTTATGAAGATGAATGCTCCTTATAATGAAATCAGCTGATATATATGTTTTGAAATGCTGTGAAATAATATTGCTCCATAACTAGATCTGAACTATTTGAATATTACAAAGATAAAATATTTAACTATAAAACCACCTTGTAGCCAATACAAGTCTTACTGTGAGCAAATATGTACTAAGAGTCCAACCAGCTGCTAGATCAGGTATGTTAATTTATTTTCTGAACCAATGAATACAAGTTATGTGGCAGGCAGTTTCTGGTGGAATTAGCACTGCTGTTGGCAACTAGAAGCAGTGAGAGATAAAATACATTTACTTTGGCTATAGTTAATTTATTTCTTAAGTATTTAAGTGGGTGGAATGGTGGAAACATCTATTTTCCAAGTGTACCACGACCATCAGCAAATGAATTTTCGGAAATTTGTAAACACAGAGTGCTTTTCTGTACCATAGATGAAGGAGAAATTATTATCCTTATAGATAGTAAGAGGGCTTGAATTATTTCTATGTCATAGAAAGCCGTGTGACTGCATAAAAATGGGCAATCACACATAATTTATTTTGTAACAGATAATTCTAGAAAAAATGTCTTGAATACAAATGTGTAAAAACAATTTAAGAAGTTGAATGAATTTGATGAAAGTATTGGCTGGGAGAAAGGTGACTTACATTAGGTGTTTTCTTCTTTACATAATTCCTCAAATTCTGAGCACACATCAGAATATATTTTATATCAGATGAATATAGTGCAATGGAAAGTACATAGATTTTAGAGCTAGATATGGCTCTATCACTTGCTGATTACTTTGTCCCACAGATTGTAATAATAATAGTAATAATAATAGTCATTATATAAAATTTTTGAAAAGATTACACACTGTAAGGGGAAGCCTGTCTGAGGCAGAGTGCTCTAATATTGGGAATGACAGGTAAGCTGTTCGGGAGAATTACATCTTCCTCGAGTTGCTCCGTGTTGCATCATTACCATCCCTTGACATGTTTTCTACAAATCATATTAAGGAGTTGTGGGGTGAAAAAGTGCATATCAAGAAACCCATGATGAGAAAGACTGAATTGTTGAAAACAAATCTTACCCAAGTCAGAAGCAAATTTAAAAATGGCTTTCACATCTTTTGTTTTTTAAGAGAAATCAAACCACCGGGGTAGGTAACACTTTTTCTTGGCCCTCAGCTCTGAGCAACATCTTTGATTAAGCATTGCACAACATGCTGTATAAAAGCATTTTTAATAGTTAAAGACAGAAACAGAGGAAGGCACATATGGCTGTTTATTATAACTCTCCTCAGAAGCTGAGGACATTTATATATACACAATTTTTTTTAGAACTATTTCAGGTTCACAGCAAAATTGAACACAAAGTACAGAGTTTCTACATACTTCCTTCCCTGCCTCTGCAGGTTCCCCCACCACGCACATTCTTCATCAGTATCGTATGTTTATTATAACTGATGAATCAATACTGACATATTATCAACCAAAGTTTGTACTTTGCATTAAGGTTCCCTCTGTGTTGTATATTCTATGTGCTTTGATAAATGTATAATCACATAAATTTATCTTTTTAGTATCAGACAGAATCGTTTCACTGCCATAAAAATCCCCTGTGACCCACCTACTTATTTTTCTCTTTCCTGAGACCCTAGTAACCACTGATCTTTCACTGGTTCCATAGTTTGGCCTTTTCTACAAGGTCATGAAGTTGAAATCACTGGGCAGCCTGCATTTTCAAATTGGCTTCTTTAACTTAGCAATATGCATTTAAGGTTTCTTTTTTTGTGGCTGCATAGCTCTTTTTCTTAGTGTTGAATAATATCTGTTGTCTAGGGATACAATCTTTTAAAAAAATTCATTCATCTATTGAAGAATAACTTTATTGCCTCCACATTTTGTCAATTATGTATAAAACTTCCATAAATACTCTTGTGCAGGGTTTTTTTGTTTGATGTAAGTTTTCAACTCCTTTGGGTAAATACCAATGAGTTGCTGGATACTAATAGTACGTTTAGTTATGAAAGAAGCTGTTAAACTGTCTTCCAAAGTGGTTGCATTGTTTTGCAATCCCACCAGCAATAAATCAGAGTTTTCAGATCCTTGACAGAATTTTGTGTTTTGGATTTTAGCCATTCTAATACTTTTTGTTATAGTATGTCATTGTTTTTCTCTTAAACATATTTTATTTTATTTTCAAGATGTAGGGTACAATTTGGGAATAAGTATGTAAGTGGTCATAGTACAAGTGATAATATCATTTTTAATCAGCTTGTTCAATTTTTTATGATTAAATTGTAGTGGTTCTTTGCATCTTTTGTTTAGTAATCTCATAGCAGATCTGCTTTTTATGAATATTTTTTCTAAAACACTTGATATTTTCAAGATTGCATGCAAAAAGTTGTATATAAACTGATTTTAAATTTGTAATATATTTTAAAAGTTAACAACTTTAGTTCAAAGAAGTTGCTTGTGATAGTACCTCTTTGTAAAGTGACATGATTCCTTTTGGATGACAGTTCCTTTTATTATATTGACTTTTAAAATTTACATGTCTAAAACATGTTCATTATATAAATAATTAAGTAAACTGGACTTTCATTGTGTAAAATATACTTTTTTTGCAACCTGTTTAGTTACTTAAAATGTATCATCACTTTTTATGTTTACATATAAGTCACTGTGAAGTTGTACCATACTTTAATTAAAATATAACATATTTTTAAAAATTGGTTTACTTTAGATATATTATTAGCACTGCAGTAAGTATGCATATACACATGTATCTCTGGTAATTTAAAAATGATTCAGGGAATATTCTTAGAAAATAGTATGACTTAAGAATCATACTATTCTTAGAAAATAGTATGATTTCTAATTCTTAGAAAATAGAATATTTATTTTTTAAATCTTTTATACACATTGCCAAATTGTTCTTTAGAAAATTGTATCAATTCATATTTTTGCTAAGTATCACTAAAATCTCTGAATATTATATATAAAACAACTTTAAAAAATATTTTCAAGCTTGGATAGAAGAGCATACCACCTAAGGAAGATGAGAATTACAAAATGGCATACTGATGAGTTTCCTGGGGTTATGCTCTATATATCCCAGAAGTGGAACTTAAGTCAGTAACCTGGAGATGCCAATAGGCACAGAAAAACAAAAACAAAAACAAAAACACAACAGAAGTCTGCTTGCTCTTGCCAAACTACTAGGAAAAGCTCAACCTAGAAAATAAAATCTTTTGGGATATTAATACTTTAATACACCAGAATCACAAAAAATAATGTGACTATACCCCCACACCTGCTAGCAAAGACCAGTTGAGGAGCCTGAATTTCTACCTATATCTGGAAGTAACAAGGCAGTGCTGCTCTTTTACTCTCCAGAGTTGTGTCAGAGGAACCCATTCAACAGAGAATGTTAGATAAGATTCAGAGTCTCATAACATAGTATCCAAAATATTTAGGATACAATTGAGCATTTCATTATAACAAAAATCAAAGTATATTAAAGTAAATGAATGAAGGCAATCAACAAATGCCAGCACTGAAATGACAGAAATGAATTAACTGTTTGGTATGATGTTAAAGTGACCATTATGAAAATGCTTCAATGAGCAATTGTGCAGATTTACAAAACAAATAAAATAGTAGGAGTTCTCAGTAAAGAAAAAAATTAGAAGAGCTCAGCAAGTAAATAGAAAATACAAGGAAGGAACAAATGGAAATGTTAAAACTGAGAAACACAACTGAAATAAAAAATATGAATGGAGAAAACAAAGGAAAGAATCAGTGAACTTAAAGATAGAGTAATAGAAATTATTCATTCTGAATGACAGAAAGAAAACAGGCTAGACAAAAAGAGTAGAGTCCCAGGGACCTGTGGAATGTTAACAGAAGATAAACATTTATATCACTGGAGGCCAGTAGGAAAGGAGAAATAGTATGTGACTGATAGTACTCAAAGAACAGATAAAAATTTACCAAATGTCTAATCTGTAGTCAAGAAGTTAAATGAATCCCAGAGAGCATAAATCCCAAAATATCTATATCAAAACACACCATAGTCAAGCAAACAAAAAATTAGGAAAACAAATTCTTGAGAACACAAGAAGGAAATTACACTTTGTCTATGGGGAGGGGATCAAGGGGGAGGGAACAAAAGTCCAAAACATATCACATCAGAGATTGTGGAGGTAAGAAAGAAGTGGTACACAATCATTTGAATTCTAAAAAAATCTGCCAATTCAAAATACTACATCAAGTGAATAAATCCTACAGGAAATTCTCAGAAGAAGAAAGACCAAGAGAATTTGTCTCCAGCAAATGAACATAGAAAAATATGTTGAACATATTAGCTATCAGGAAAGTGCAAATTAAAACCACAATGGGTTATGACTACATGCTTATCAGAATAGCTAAGATAAAAAATAGTGGCGATACCAAATGGTGGTGAGGATGCACAGCTACTGGATCACTCACCTATTGCTAGAGAAAATGTAAAATGATTCAATTACATTGGAAAACAGTTCAGCAGTTTCCAAAATAGCAACTACCATACCATTAAGCAATTGAATTGAATTATTGGGTATTTATCTCACAGAAATGAAAATTTAGATTGATTAATACATAAAACCTGTGGGTGATTCTTTACAGTACTCTTATTTGAAAATTCCAGCACTTAGAAATGAGGAGATGACCTTCAATGAATGAATAAATTAAACAAACTATGACAGTCACGCCTTAGAATACTTCTCAGCAGCAAAACAGAATGAACTCTTGATACATGCAACCATCTGTATGACTCTTCAGAGAAGTACGTTTTATGAAAATGTCCCCAAAGACTACATACCCCAGGATTCTTTTAAATAACATTTTGGAAGTAACAA